GTATTAGTACTGGAATAGTGGCTCATACCTTCATCAAACGATGGGTAGTAAACTTTGTTTGTCCCCCAACTATCGCTATAGACCTTGGACGCCAATTTCAATCTGGATCCTATGGTTATCTTACTACACTACTTGGAAGCACCCGATTACAGGCGACTGTTTACCACTGTGACGATTAGAAGTAATTGAGCTATTTTATGAACTATGATTCCTCGAAATAGCGCAATTTAAGCCAAACGGTACTAGGTGAGCGCAAACAAACGTATTTCATTCGGAATTAAAAGTCAGGCAGGCACCAAGTACAAAAGAATCATTTATTAATACAAAGATTACAACCGTTGAAACTTATATTGTAATCTACGTTTCTGTCATCGATCTAACATCTTTACTTTATGCTCATCATGTGTCTGTCAGATTTTGTGTTGAGTACAAATTCTGTGTGATTTAGAATATACTCGTTAGGATTAGGATAAACGACTGAAATTGGAACTGACTCAACTGGGTCCTGGAAATGTACATGATCACCATGTCGTTCTTGTACTGAAATCATTGATATCTAGAAGTTGGACTACAGATTTTGCAACACCAGTCTTTCCCACGAAATAATGTTGGATCTTCAAATCCACAAGTTATAAATAACATGGCTTCATTTAAAACATATTTCTCACATTGGCTATAGTATTCATTGGAAGTGACTTCATGATAAGGACAAACAACAGTAGTTATGAAATCATCCGAATTGTAATCAAAGTCAAGCTCATCTGTCCACCGCAGTCAGCAGGTTGATTATACAAGAATAACCCTTCATAAACCATGCTGTTGGGGTGAGAAGAAATTTAAAGACAGTAAATATTCATATATACCATCGCATATCAGGGACTCCATTATTTTTGAAGGTGTAGAGAGAAGAGCCACCGGTCGGTAACTTGAAGGTTCTCTGAGTCAACCTCCTTTGAAAATTGCTGTGATGTGAACTAGCTTCCAATCTTCCGGTAGTTTGCCTCGGCTTAGAGAGTGTGGGGGCATCACTCTAAGCGCTGTTGCCAGGATTGAGGCTGGTTCCCTCAGTATAGCAGAATGAACCATATCTGGGCCAGGAGAAGTGTCTTTTCTTAGGTGATGCAATTTCCGGAATACTAAGTCAGTGAGCAGGTTGATTACGGAAAGTCCTGTGCAGTTGCAGATCAAGCTGTTATCAGTATAGTTGATGGGGTTCGGTCGAAGTGTCCGAGCGTATTGTTCAGCCAAAAGGTTAGCGGCGTCGCCGTCGTTGTTGGTCGGGCCGTTAAGACCTAGCAGTTGTGAAACTTCAGTTTTTGGTTTGACGAAGAGAGGCCTCATAATAGAATAAGCTTTTCGGATTGGAGACAAATTTATCAATAAGCTTTATCTGATACTGAATCCTGTTTTCTCTTATAGCCTTCGTGCATATGTTCCTTATATGTTTGTATTGCCTGTACGGGGCATTGTTGTCAGTTCGTCTGTGTTCTGCCCAACAACTCAAATGTAACCAAGGAGACTGACAATGTACAACTAAAGGAATCAATAGGAACAAACTGCGAGTGCATACATGGAGGGATTTTCACACACAAAACACTCAAGATGGATCTTACACATGGTTGTGAACTTGATGTACCTCCAAGCAGGATCGTATGTGTACGGCTACTCCACCCCCAATTCCTATTGTTCTGTCGTTGCGAAACAAAGATATCCCAGGTATTGCTAGCTCCTGGTCCGTAAACTGAGAAGATATCCAAGTTTCAGATATTCCTATCAGACAAGCATTATTAGCATTGCTAAGTTCACGTAGCTCATCCATTTTTTTGGTCGACTCGCGGCATTCATGTATATGCAATTTATGCTTTCAATTTGAAACGCGGGAGCTTCTTCCTGTTTGTCTGTATGAGCCTTACATGAATGGACAGGTAGCATGTCTACATAAGATTTGCCTAGTTGGTAGGCCCTGTCCTTTACACGTTTTTTATGATCCAGATAGTCCGCAAATGGAATGGTCAGCTCCAGCTTGCCTTTGTGCTTGATCCTGGCGTCATGTGGCCTATCCGGGTGCATATGGATTCCAGTTGGCAACCGACGTCTGCTGGCACGAAATGCTTCCAGAGTTGCAAGCACCATATGGGAGGATGGAAAAGTTATCCTCATTAGCCGGGGTCTAGGATCACTGTCCTTTTTTCCTAGTCTCGTCACACGTTGAGTCAGTATTTTTTTGAGCCTCAAGGACTGCTTGATGAATCTCCATTCCCTAATATCAGAGTTAGCTTGACTAGGGTCCGTGTTTTCCGGTACACCTTGCACAATATTATTTCTTCCGTGGAAAACTTCTCGCGAGATTCTTTAGGGATGTTACGGATGAGATTGCGCTCAGAATACGGTATGTTGGGCAGTATTCATACGTTCCCATCGGATTTCAGTAAATGGCTAGCTAGCAGGACATCCTCTACGTCGTTAGCATTCTTAAGGGTTATACGAAGTAACTCCGAATGATTTTGATGCTTAGATTCCTTTCCCTGAGCGAGCCATGTGACCGTCAAAGGCTCTATTCTAGGAAGTTCAAGCTTCTTGTTCAATTCTTCCCAGAGCATTCCGCCATTTTTGTCCTGCAAACTGAGAGGAAGGTCAGGATTGTCTTTGAGGTTCATAATTATTAGAGTCATCAAAAACCATTATTGTTTTCCCAGGTTTTCCGGTGCGTTTATGTTCAGCATCTTGTTGTTCGGAGGTCGAAGCACGTTTCTGAATCCTAGGCTTTTTGATTACCGGACGGACATTCTTGGGAGTAGACGGTGCGATCACATCACCAGTTGATTTCCGTACAATACTTGGGATGTTCAGCTTAGACGGTGACGCCTGGTACTTTTATCTCTGCCAACGTGGGTTCAATCACTTACACAGTTTTTGGGAACCATTATTGCATTCAAGGATCCTGAGCTGGGATACCTGAGTTTGCTGAGGGAGTCTATTACCGTCAACGTTATGATGGTGCTGAGTTTCACCATGTCATCACTAGTACTAATGCATGCGCCATCGATAGTAGACCTGTCAACGTCCCTACATATATACTTTTTTCGTTGCGCGCCCTTGTTTGTCTATCCTTTTTATGACTGCCTTTTTCCAAGTGTGCTGACCTGTCAATAGGACAATGATGTCGCTCGGAAAAACCACTTACTGAGTCTGTTGTAAGCAGTTGCTGTGAGATCTTCATAGAGCTTCATGAAGCCAACCTTCGCAGCTGTCCCACTGCATGCCAGATGTAACAACGAAGCCGCATCCAGGTCGTTTGCATGAATTTTTCATGACTGTATTTACGCAAACTGTATTACAGATGCTAGCAAAAGCCTAAGGCCGTTAAAAAATTACACTGAAAACGGGTGAGATAAACTGAACTTGCCTTTACGTGAAAAAAACGAAAAAAACCGAATAGTAAGCTGAGGCAAAACCACAGTTAACTATTAAATTGGGTGAAACTCAAAAAAGTAATCTACCAATCGTATAACTCAAAATAGATTCTTTAGATCAAAAATGGTACTTTTGTTGCGTAAGAACACAGCAAAAGTTTGGGGAATGCAAGTCATGTTAGGACTAAACTTCGCGTTCGAAAAGCTCTGAGAAAAAGTCTTTGACGTTGTTTTTATATTGGGGAGTTAGTTACTGATACACGACTTCCCCATTTAACCATCAACAATTAGGACCACCTACACTAACGTGCGGTTGAAGCTGTGTCGATCCATTCAAAAGAAAGTTGGACCAATTGAGAAATTACTTTTGACGGGACTTACGCAGGCCATCAAGCCTGCTGTCCTTTTCAAGCAGAAGCTGAAAATGTAGGATGTTTGTTGCAAGTGTTTTCGTTTTGTCTCTGTTTATCACTAATATTTTGTTTCTTCAGATTCATGAAGGAGAATTACGCATTTATATGCCCACTTTTTTACCATCTGTAATTCAGACATATAGTCAGTGCCAATATTTGTTGACAATGTTCGAAGCACACATCAATTTTTGGTTGACTGAAAGCGCCCAACTGATATCTTTAAGGTCACTGCTGAGATTGGTTTGTTGTTATTGTGTGTAGTTAAGGTTTCTTTTAGTTTTGTGCATAACAAATAAGGATATTGTTTTGGTTCTATTGATACGTTACTCAAGATTTCATCTCCCACATCAAGAAACTCCGGTCTAGACTGCATGATTATGTCATAATCATGATTATTTTTATTGTGTATCCGTTTCACTAAAACTATTCTTACCAAGTGTACATACTAACTTCATTAGATTCTGTGTTTAGCCAAAATCATTGTATAATACCAGGGTGCAAATGTAAAAAAATTAAGTGGTTTATACCTATTGAGATCTCAATCTCGAGATTGAAATCTCCCTATTTTTGGGAAAATTTCGTCTGGTTTGGGTCAATTTAAGGGAAACAACTATAAAAAACTTTAGCAAAATTTTAGGAAAACAGCAAAAAACTTAAAATTTCCCTAGGTCTGAGGAAAACCCCCATAGTTTTGGGGAAATTTTGGGTTTTCTCAATATTTCCACAGAATCATATAACACTTTAGGGCTTTTCCCCAAAGTTTACCCAAGATAGGAAGATAGGGTATTAGCGTACAAGAATACTAGATGTTGGTCCTTAAAACACCTAGTGCCTAATTTGATTAGTTCCTAACACCTTCATAAAGTCCATCCAGTGAGTGGCGGGGATAAACCGCATTGATATAATATATATGAAAGCAAGCCCCGATCGTATTGTGTGTTTTCCATTTCCAAATAAATGTATGTTGTGACTAGTAGTTAATAAAACATAGTTCTTTGAGTCAAACTAATAAATTAAGGTCACTTAGGTGTTCAGGAGTAAGAGCTGTAATTTTCAGTGGAATAAAGCATATCATGGGATAAGTGAATGTTGAGTATTTTATTTTCATTTTATTATTATTCTTTTCCGTCACTTCATGAATTTTCAGACTGAAGTTTGTCATGCTGCTTTGGTAATGGGTATGCCTTCTCATGTCAAGCAAAGTATTAAGCAAGCTCAACTGGTACTCGAATCATTGAAACAGGATCATGAACAAGCTTTATCTGCCTTAAGTACATTTTGTAACTCAGAAAATAGTCATTCATCACCAAATATTAACACAAGTCTAGAATGTGAGAAAGTCTTTAATCAAGAGAAAATTCCAATAATTCAAGCTGCACTAAAACAAATCGAAAAGGGATTAGACGACTCAGAGGTTTTTTCTGTATAGAGTAGTTTCTAAAAATATTAAGGTTATGATTACATTTGCCAAATATATCGAACATTTGGAAGCTGAGCTGTTGAAGGTACAGTTGCACAACCAAAGGTTAACTGAAGAAACTTGTTGGCTTCGAGATGAGCTAAAGTACACACAAACAAAACTGGAGGTAACTTTATTGTGGATATTTATAACATGGGTAATATAGGAAAACGAATCGCTCCTTGCTCAAACTGAAGTCGAAAAAAAACATCTTGAGTTTATGTTGGATTTAAAGAAATATGACATATCTTCCAACAGTTGTGATACTGAAAAAAGTAAGGTTTTATTTATTTTTCTTGAAGTATTTTTTCCTGTGCTTTATAAACAGATTGGTCCGATTTGTTTTATTAGCTTTGTACGGAAGTAACGTTGGGAAACTAGGTTGAATTTAGTTTATTCCTTACTGACGAGTACTTATGTGGTCCTATTAAATTATAGTTTGGTGCATCAGCTAACTTCATGACACTTATATACTTTAGCGTTGACCATTCTGAGTGTAAACTCGAAATTCGTTTTACCTACCTCGGTTTGAGCAGCGAGGTAGTATCACTATTCCTAAAAGTCGGCTGAACAAACTTGTACTAGATAAATCAGTTACAGTAAATAACGGGTAGAGCTTTAATGTGTAGTATGAATAGTAATGTCAATCTTCTAGGTTGTTTGTTAACTATGAAATATATAGAAATTACTTTTCGACCCAAGTCTAAATTGAGTTTTCCCCAGGTTCCTTCTACCTGCAAACGAATTTTTGCAGGGCTCGGCAACGTCCCACATATATAGTGACAAAATGAAAACTAATTCGCGTCTACAAGATTGTATTGGCTCGTGCTACCACTTTTTTGCAGCTCAGTGAGCTATGATCAGGAAAGACTAGTAAGCATTTGAAATTTCAGGGTACCAGTAATCTTGAAAAATTCTAGTAAAATATATCAAGCACAGGTTAGAAATAAGAGCAAAATGTCTAGTAATAAATAAACGGATGAGTATAAACATAAATGTATCAGGATGAGTTGCTTTATTCCCTGTAACAGAATAATTTTCAAGATTTAAGGGAAGGTACTATATTTATTTGAAGTCCACCTGTTTGAGATCCGACTGATTACCGCAATCAGTTTTATAATATGGCTCGAAATCAATAACAGTGGCTCATATTTGTTCACCCAATATGAATATAGTTTCATACTTTTTCTAACCATACTCCTAATATTTACTTCTCATTTTCGTTACTACTACATTATTTCGACTTCTCTACCATTCGTGTTGTTAATCCCATTTCATAGTGCCATTGGGATTTGCCAACTTGAGCTAAAGCATATTTTCCAAAGGCTATACACTGATTATGATTGACTAATTAACGTTAGAAAACGTCTATAAATTTACATACAATGGAAATTTTGCCAGGCAATTCATCCTAAGTGAGAAAAAGACGATTCGTAGATTGAGATTTATATCACATCATAGTTTTAGATCTAGAGACGTTTCCAAATTAATTGGCTCCCATATTCGTTCGTAATAGCTTACTTGTTAATTGCCTCTCCCCGAATATTTCAAGTATTTTGCAAATAAACTGAAACTGTTGCCTTGTTTCTTTACCATATTAAACAGTGCCTTGGAAATGTATCATATTAGATATGACTTTTTCAATAATTCTCTTTAGACCCTCCTAACGTCACATTTCTTATTGTGGCGAAAATAGTAAGGACAAAAAGGTAGGCGAAAAATGTCAGCGAATAACTCTCTAAACCTATGAGGGTTAGGTGTTGAAAGTTGATTAAATATTCTCGAGATTGATAAAAATGATCCATGGAACTAGAAATGTATGTGAATCACTCTGAGAAACGGTTAGTTGGCCCCGGGTTCCTCATCTGTTACTCGCTACTTATCAACAGATAAAATGGGAGATAGATATCCGGGTAATGTAGCGAAGTTAATGTCCTAACTGACCTAAAACTAGCGAGATCACTGGAATCTGGTGATTTGTGACAGGTCCTTAAGCAACTTATGTGGCAATCGCAGGAAGTCTAGGATGCATTAATGTCACGTCTAATAATAAAACGTCGTATAACTTGGTGCTGCAACTGTTTCATTAGTTCTAGTGGATTGGTGACTGACAAAGTATTTATAGGCAAAGGAAACCTAATTGATCTTTTGTCCCTGAGAAACTTACGCCTGTTAGTCTTCGTGGAGCGTAGGTCACCTACCAGGATATCCCAATCAATCTGAGCTGTACTTTACAGTTGTTTCCAAGTGCTGTTCATTCTTTCGATGCTTGCCTTCAAACCCCGGCTCAAAGTATTCGGTCTTTCTCTTTTCTTTTAGCCTTGAGCCAGTCAGTCAGCTACAACGTAGGACCAGTCACGTATATGCATCGGTCCAAGTTTCCACACCTCATTAGCACAACATGATGAACACCAAATTTATAAAGTAGTTACTTCAATAGTAGTAATATATAAAAGAAAGATTGTGTATAAGGATATAGTACAGGAAGAAAGGATTAGTTGTTGGAAAGAAAGATATAAAGCAATTTTAATTTCACGGTTTAAGGGAAGACAAAGAGTGTATAGACCGGCGCCATCGACCTTGAGGATCCCAAGTTAGAGCCTAACTTATGATGTTTTAAAGCACTCTTTAGTTTTGTCAAAACCACCAAGATCGAGCACTTATTATTAGGTAGAACCAGTAAATCGGTTTGTTAGGATAGTAATCGAATAAGTTAGTGGAGACATTTCTTATATATATTTTTTACTAGTTAAAATAAGGCCTTGAATAACCAAAATAGACAATTATTGGTCTTTTAGGTTGCTAGCTGTTGTCCTAATCTTTTTCAAATGATAAGAACTTCAGTCATGATAATCGTTCAAGGCATTTAGGAAAATGTCCCAAAATCCTACCAATGGATTATATGCAATCATTTTATATATCTTCCCTTGATTTGGGGTTTTAGCGTAATTTCGCAGAAATTATCCATCGATTGTATTTGTTCTTTCTGTGATTTTTCTCAGAGTATTTTGGTACCACTCACTTTTCCTCTGGTTGATTTTCTTTCTCTTCCTTGATGTAACATGTACCAACTTAAACCAACACATCTGTAGCAGGCCCTATAATATTATTTACCTTCAACTGCCATAGATAACTTCATTGTCGTGTTCGTGCGCATAATTTGTTAAACTCACTGAATAAATATTCATGTGCTCGACTATAAGTTACACTGTATGACGGTTAATGATGCCATTCAACGATCAAAACTGAAGAAGGTGAAATGGAGTTCGGGCTAGCCACCTGTTGATTGGAAGTGAAATGATTTGACCACAGAGGTACCGTGTGAATATATTTTTTCATATTTCCATTAATTAAAACTTCTTATTCACCATATTTTAGTAAACGTTTTCGCTAACGATAATTCTTTGACTAATTGCAACAAAATTAATTTAGATCCATCTTTTAAACATTTGGAAGATGATCCGCCGATGATGGTTGCATCTGTTCTCGGCCTAATGAGTTCTCCAAACCATTTGAACACATCTAATCATGTAGATCGATTCGATACACACAACAAATTTTGGAAACCGACTACAACAACAACTACCACTGTTTCATCATTTTCACCATACAACCACTTAGAAATGAGCGGAATAATGAATACCAGTTTACTTGATGCGGATATGGACTCACTGTCAGTAAATCGAAGTCGCAATCCAAGTGAATTCCATGGTTTAAGTGGACATCGGAATTCCCAGTCAATTTATGTTCCTCCTGGGCTTAGAACACTACATCACATAGCCTTACGTTATACAAGTCAGGGAAAGCATGATGTTGCAGCATCTTTATGTTTACAAGCTATTCGAGATTTAGAAGGATCTGGTGGTCGTGACCAAGCTGAGGTTGCTGCTCTACTGAATATCTTAGCTTTGGTTTACCGGTAAGTTGCATACACATTATAAGTTATATTTTAAAGAGTTTTGGCTTTAATGTCAATCTATTAAATGGAAGTGACTTCATTCTAACGAACTGGATCTTAATAAACTTTGTGCACACCGAAAAATCCTGTTGGGAATTGTTATAAGTTTAGTTCATTATATATCATTGTGTGCTTATCATCAGAAAAAATGTAACTTTTTAAAATCCGATCTATTATATCCTTATTTTGATATTCTAAACACATTTGTTTAAAAAATTTCATACAACTTGTTTTTTCGGCAAATCGAAACAAAGTTTCTTTAAGCTTTTTTTAAATCATTAGTGTCTGATGATATTATTTGTAGTTTCATGCAAACTACTTTACATTTGGTCGCTTATGTGTTCGCTCGTCAGTTACATATTTCGATATCCTACCTATATCTGCTGTAATGTTGATTAAATAGGGATTTTTAACAACCATTTTGTTGGTAAGTTTACTAACTAGTGTTCATTTTATTCATTTGCTGTGTTTTCTGAATCTTTCATGTCTGAATAGTGATTTTTTCCTCTTTTGTTTATTGCTTTAGTGATCAAGGAAAATACAAGGACGCATCTGATATTCTCAAAGAAGTAATTAACATACGAGAGAAACTTTTGGGACCTAACCATGTGCTGGTATGTTTTTGATGTTGAAAAGTCACATAACATTCTTTTATGAAAAAAAACGTTTGACTTAATCATCAAGAATAGAGTTCACCACTAGACTAGATCGGCTTCACCCGAGCATCAACATCATGATCAAGATATTAATCAGAAAAATATCGGATTCCTGCAAAAAAAACCCAAAACGCTTATCATTCTTACCAATTATATGTAAAACTAAGTTCTGCTGCATAATTCTCATTTTATTTTTGTTCATGTAGTTTAAAAAAATTTGGAAAAAGAGAAATAAGATTTTCAAAGTATAGTATTATTAGACTCCTAAATCTCTTTAGTATCTATACGTTTCGATGAGATTTAGAAGTGTCGTATTTCAAAAAAATGTGATTCAAACACGTTTTATGCATTGAACTTTCTAAAAAAATTTCGGAATAAATCTATATCGTACAATCGAAGTTGCGGTAGTGTATCAATGGTTTTCATCGTTTATTCAGTAATTAAACATTTAACACAATGATGTTTTTGAAGTTTTCTCCCATGATATTGAAGCGGCTAGTAAGTATTATCCTTGTGTTGTTGTAACTTCTTCCGTTTTCTTTTATATTTCTTTTTTGCTTGCTTTTTCTTCAAAACTATTATAGGTAGCAGCTGCTTTAAACAATTTGGCAGTTTTACATGCTAAAGCTGGTCGATTTACTGAAGCGGAACCGTTGTGTCGGCGGGCGCTTAGTATACGAGAAAAAGTAATTTTTTCTGCCTAAAATTACATTTGCATTTACACTTGTAAATAGTATGAATTATGCAAAGGTTTCCAGTAACCAATATTCGATATCATCAGATCCCGAAGAAACAGAAGAAACGACATTTCTGTTGAAGTAACTCCGCAGCATTCGAAGTATTGACTATTAGGTCCGATTGCTATTGGTTGCTAATAACACATCCAAATTTAAGGATATCTATAAATAAAACGAAAAGAACAATTAGAGAACGTCGCTTTCAACCCGCTTTGCAGAAGCTACCTCCATCAAGCGTTTTAAATCTGACCTTCGTATACAGAAAGAAAGTATGGCAAACCTCTCATTTCCATTATAAAATAAATATATTGTTTTGACATTTGTTAATTACATAGTCTCTTTATTGTAATCTATATTACAAAAAATTCCATCGAAATTCACTCACGAAGTTAACTCTAATTTTATGTTGACTAGGTAGCTCTATTACTACTCATTCACCAATTTTTTTGTCTTTTCATTATTGTTTATGAAATCACCCACTTTGACTTCATTTTGAAGAAATTACTGATAAGTCTAAATTATTGTCAGTGTGGAGTTGTGGAGATCGTTGAGTTTTATTGAAGTCGTGAACCCATCTAAGTTAGAACACCATTGGAAACCTGAAAGCATTAGATGATCGTTTCGTCCTAGTATGGGACTCCTCATTAGTGCGCATGTGCGCTCTCGCAATCGAGAATCAAATCCACTGGGAAAAAGGAAGATGGTCGCGCAATTCTGTAGATTGGTTGAAGCTAGATTTGCAAACTACTGGGTCTGTTCTCGGTGGTTTAGAAGCTAAGCATTCGCCCAGGACTGTAGGTCCTGATCTCGATTCCTAGTTGCGGGGTGGTAGAAGCACACCTCCGGGTGGTACCATGCTAAAACGTAACGCCCGTTCAGTGTTTCCTAGATTTCAATGGTTGCCTAACTTAGATAGGTTCATGATTTCAATTGAATTGAACTATCAATCTAAGTATGTTTTTTCATCGTTTTTCTTCTGGATTTTCCTTGTGTTTTCGAACTCAACTTCATTGATTGGTTTATAATAATATAACTAATTCTAACTCCAGGCTGTTCCCAGCTGATGAGGAACCTTGAAATATAATGAATTCTCACTATTCTGCAACTCTTATTCTTCTCACTTTATTTAAATTCACCAAAGGATCAGGATACATATGTAATTGATAAACCTTCTGCTCAGGTTAAAACCTTTGTTTTAAATTCCACGGCTAATTTCCATTAAAGCATTTAAATGTGTTCAGTAATAATTTTGTAGTGGTCATATAGAACATCAGATCAAATCAAACAAAGTGTGACACTTATTGGTTGGTTAGAATGAAATAAGAACTTCCAACGTTTTCTCACTAGTATGTATCATCTATCTGTAATTATTTGTATTAAAATAAGCATGTATTTATTTATTAGAACCATCTACTATTTAACGATTTCATAGCTTATATATTCCAAATATCATATTAATAATAATATCATATGATTTATTCATTTTGAAAGTTTTAGTTATATTAAGTGTGATTGATATAGAATGGAAGGGGATTGATTGAATTATTTCCAAAGTCATAATATGTAGGTGAGAGTGTGAGGGCACGAGTTAATATTTAAGTTTACACGTTACATACTTTGGTAATAATAATAACAATAATAATAGAAGTACCCATGATAAGTTCATAAAGTCTAATTCATTTATCGGACATATGTTTTCTGTCTTACATAAATTTTGTCATTATTTTCTAACTATAATCATAGTTCAAGGGACCTATGCAGTACAGCGTGCAATCTACTAAAATGTTGGTGTTGTGGTCTTTAAATTGATCTCCAGCTCTACAAGTGTCCTTAAGGTTTTTACTGTCTTCAAGGAGACTATTTTCGCCAAACAGTTCTTAATCATTTGGCACAACAAATAACCAGAAATCGCTATCTAAGTCTTGATTAATTTGTCTCTATAGTTCACTAACAAACATTGGAAAATGTAATACTCATGTATATATATATATATATATATATATATATATATATTCAGTTGTTGATCAAAAGTCACACTGAAATTAACATGTTCTGTAAGATGTATCATATTCTAGTTTGAATTATGTGTAGGTTTACAAGAAGGTACATGTTTTTGCATGATTTTTCCATGGAAATGTATCTTCAATTAGAGGAATAAATCTTTTTTTCTCATTTCTGCAACAATGTTCACAGTCATATAATACTAATAATATTGGTAATAATAATTATAATTGTTACTAGAGCTCACAATATTCATTTCAAAAAAGAATTACTAAATCCTGCTAATTAGCGATGTATATGAAGAATAGTGTTAAGCTGAAAAAGTGTATGAAATCTGAGATCAATGTGAACTTTATTGTGTCTGCAAGCATGGCGGTGTCAGTAGAAGCTAATGGTGGTTAGTCATATGGTTTGAAGTCCTTCTGTATCTTGATTTTTGACAATGCTACGTTAAGACAGATTCACTTATTTGAATACAGACAAATACACATCTAAATTTTAGCCAATTAGCTATTATGTCTTAGTTTTTCTTCCTTAATTCACATTTAAAGTTTGATAAAGAACAGAGATTAAAATTTTCTTGAGATTTTTTAAATTTTTCCCTTGGTTGCGTTCATTCTATCTCTGTAAAGAAATTTTCCATTGTTCTATGCTTGTACATATTCTATACAATAAATACACAAATTTGGAAAGTTCTTAAAACAGATTAGTTTTTTTCAAAGGAATCAAGCTTTCCTATGAAGACCGTAAATACTGCGAAAATGATGCAACGCTAGGACAGTAGTCAGCTTCTTGTATCTTCTGTGTTTTCTATTCAGTAGTTTATTGTTCGTATGGCTGACGATCAATTGAACTTAGGAAAATCGTCTGTGCATATAATTGTAAAACGAAGCAATCAAGTGACTAATTTCTGTAAACCTTCAAGTGTCTCGAACAGTCTACACAGGAATAGGAAAAGCGTATTTGCATAAATGGTCGATAGTTCGGAAATGATGAAGTTTATATACTGCAATTCTTATAAACTAAAGTACTTTTTAAAATCCTCAGTTTGTATATACTCCAGGCAGATTATATACGTAGTTTTCTTAAATATAATCAGGAATATTATATTGTTTAGCCGAGTTAAGTTTGTTATCATTATAATTGATTATTATTATAAGGGACCAGTACTCTCCCACTTTCATAACAAATCACCAACATGTACTAATGAGTCAGTCAATTAGTGAAGGAAAAACATAGGATCTAGGACAGAAATGCATAGACCCCAAAATTAACAGATAGAAAGTGGAAATCAACAAAATGAAAAGCTTTGAAAATGAAAACAATTAACGTCAGGCGCAGTAAATAGATAAATACAGGAATTATAATTTAAAATGAACGAATGAGATCAAAGGATAAAATGCATGAAATGATAATGAACTCAAAATTTATAGAAAGATAAAGAATAAGTGCGACTAAATCTCTACAATCGATTTTTGATTAGATTGTCTAAAGTTCTCAGACCAAAAGCTATGTATTTCCTCAACATAGGTCATTTGATGAATCATTCCCATGTCTTAATTTGACGCTCTATACACATTTAATCTATTATGTCATCACTTATTATTTTTCGATTCGTAGCGTTCTCACTATTACTAAACAGGCGAGATTATAATTTATGGACAAACCAATCAGGTATATGATAACAGGTCTAGGATTTTGGCGCGAGATTCACCCGTCAATTTGGCTAAATAGAGTTTTGTCATTATAGCTGATATCAGTTCGTGATGAAAGCCCTAAATCTAATTCCTAACCCTAACCATGAACTGTATATCATAATTCTAATTCCTCACACTGGTTTATAACCCTCATTTGGTCCTGGTTATTAGGTGGACACTCTCAAGGTCAGTTTAGCACCACTCAAAGGTCGTTCACTAATTATAGTCTTACCACTAAATATTTTAATCCTGGATGTTAGATTTTAGAAAATGATTTGCAATACGGAAAAAGTTCCAAACAATCATTCAGTTTTCTGTATGGTATCATATTTCTTCAGCTAATGTTATCACAACATAATATACATCCACAAATTATTCAGTTCCTTCTCCTTTGCATCTTGAGATTGATCACTTTCATCAATCAATCCATCTCAAATAGTTGCATTAAATATTTAATTCTACTTCAGTCTGTTTTTATCCTACTGATTTTGTCACTCAATATAGTTTAGCAATATTTTTCGTATTTTATATGTTCTCCTTAAAATTATTCAAGTGTTTATTTTAAGAATAGTAAAATATTCAAAAGTTTTAATTATCAGTTGTGTTTGATTACCTTTTGTCAACTTCAAGATCCCAGTTACTTTGTTAACATGATTACGTTGCTTGGGTGAATGTAAATATGTTTTCCTTATTAGTTTATTCAAAGTATGTATTGATCGTTTTTACCCTTCACTTTTCTTGTTTTGATCAAATTTGAGGCTGATTGTATAACTTCTCTATTTTTCTAGTGTATGTTTTTTTTGTTTTCTCAAATTTCCCCCGATAAGAAACTTGTATTTTGTATGGAGAAGAGAAACATAGAAATCCTACTTAGATTAAAGTGGTTTATTAATATTTACATACATACACACACACGCTATCTAAAATCTCAGTTTTATCACTTCACAACCAGACACTTAGTTCGAATCCCACGTGCAGGATCGTGGATGGATGTTGTTGTTCTCGTTTATAAATGATTACTTCTAATTTCGGAGGGTTTGTTGTTGTTGAAATTGTACAAGATAGGTTAGGCTGATTGAATCTGATAATTTCCAATCAACTGATTAGGCTGAATTCAGTTTTTTATTTAGGAAAAGAAAGCGAAAAGCACTAACTTATGTAAGTAAGTTCAAAATTGGAACTTGAAATTGTAGGGAAAATATTCATGATCTAATATAATATCAGTAAATGTGGATACTTTTTGCTAACATTGAAAAATAAACGTTTTTTCCTGTTTTACACTGATTTTACTGATTTGATGATAACCTATAAGAGTCCTAGTTTTAATTTAAGCAACTCTCTCGACAACACATGGTAAATATTCTGTTAAATCTAATTAAACAATTGTCCAGTCTTTCTAGATTTTCAGTATTTATTCGGTTAATATCACTTCATAAATTGAAATGTTTTCATGTTAGTATTATTTACAATAATATGATTAATTGTAAGATTTAACTGTGATCATATTGCTGTATACTTGTAATCCTATGGTTTTGACTAGGGATAGTTCGTCTTATTTTTGTATTGTTTGACAGTTATCATAATTTATGCATATACGTGCCAAGTTCTACTTTGTGTGTATGACTGACTGACTGACTATTATAATTTAAGCATGGCTTAACATTGTCTAGTTTACAAATCCTTCCAAAACTTACTGAGTTACACTTTAAACTAAACAACTGTAGGAATTTAATGCTTTAACATAATTAATACTTATGAAATACTAGTTAAAAAAGAGGACTTCCAACTATTAGATCACAAATTAAAACTCCACTTCAAACGTTTCAGTATAAGTTTGTGTAATAGTATCAATAAATCTCACATATTGGGTGACTGAAACCGGAGTAAATAAGGTAATCGGTAGATGGTTTATACCATTTATTTCCTTATAACTCACTGTTCAGTGTTGAAATCATTTTTTTCATTCTTCCATTAAAAACCTATTTGATTTGTATATTACTTAGTTTCAGAATAAAATTGTTAGGCGTCAATAAGAGATATTTTTTAGTCTTACGGAATCTTAAAATGACTAATTGGGATAGTTTATTTTAACCAATATTCTCAACACAGTTGACTCCCATTTTATCGGTGTATTAATAGAAAATCTTATTTTAATAGAATATTCGTGAAATGATGATCATGAATAATTTGCGATTTTGTTGTTTAGTGAACATGAAAGTTAACCATTAGTTTTTGAAGTTAGTTTTTAATTGAAAAGGGGATTAAAATTCATTATTGATTGTATAGTTATTTCTTTCTATCTCAGAAATAGTTATCAGTTTCTATGATCGATCACTCTCGAGATTATGGTTTTTAAGTTTTATAGTTAGTGTTCGATCATTCAGTTATTGGATAATAATTAAGTAATGTAATTCACAATTGATCGCTACTATCCTTTAATCTCATCACTGTGTGTTGAGAAATACACTATTTTTCCAAAATGGAATTTTTCTTAATAATTACCATTTCTTTAACTAGAGCTGGTTCATCACATTGAGTCGTTCATTTATTGTCCATAACAGTCAATACTTGGTAAATATTCTCATTTCATTGTCTAATTCTACCATTAGAACTTTGAACAAATCTATTCTTGAGCACATTACTTATGAGCCATTTAAATAAGACCAAATAATCTTACAATACTAACTGGTTTTAAATACTTTTTCTTGTACATGGTAAATTATACCTTCAGATTAATCGAATTCTCATAATCACAGTTTAATGAAAATGAATTTTGTGATTTATTTATTATGACATTAGAAACTATATCTCAGTATATCACTTTTGTGTATACCATTTCGTTTTTTTGTTTGTTTGAAAGTTATTAGGTGCAGATCATTTGGATGTAGCAAAACAATTGAACAATTTGGCCTTACTTTGTCAAAGTCAAGGGAAATTCGATGAAGTATGTTCTATAATCTTATTGTTAATCTTTATTGATATCCTAAGACTTTAAAATACGACTCTCATATTTCATGTAAATCCAGTATCTCTGGTGTAATCAGTAATTTTTATTATAGTAAAAATAACTCAGATTAATGGATTATGTGTTCTCAGTTGCACGATATTACTCAATCATATGTTTAAGGTTAACGAGGGAAAAGAATGACTGGGATGTTAATTATTGACTTCCATTTCTATCCAAATTACTTTCTTATCAACAACATAACTCTTTGTGATGATATTAACACTCGCGATACTTAGTTATAAGCTGAATTAGTCAACGTGTTAATTTACTTCTAAAATGTTTGTCACTGGAATCTAACAAAGTGGTTCAACTGGAGATCCAATGTTTATAGTTTCGGGAAATTGGAATCAGGAGTTGGCTTACTTTAGTGAGATTCGTTGTATATGGTTCTATATTCCTTGAAGAAATATAAAAAGGTGTTATGAAGTACTTAAAGCTGTACAAGGTAGAAATCGCAGATCATCAAAGCTGATGTAATTACAGTATATTATCATAACTTACGAGATATTTTGCAGTGTTTTATGATAGTTTTTGATCTTACTTTGTTAGCGGTTAGCGTTTTTTAGCAAGGTTTTTCACGGGGTAGGGTTGCGGACCCCAAGCCCAGCCCTCTTCCTTTATCCGGGCTTGGGATCGACAGTAACCCTAGAAGGGCCAAAGTCGAAGTTTTTGATCCTAGTTAGGCAGTAATGTGTAACAACTGGGTAGCATGCCATTTGGGAAAGGTGTATGTTTATTCTTTTCGTAAAAACATTTCAACGACCCTTTTATTCGGATTCATTAGCATTAAGAATAAATCCATATGTCTCGACCCTAGAGGTTCTCAGTTTAACATTATGATAGGTGATTAGGGTCACTATCGGATTTTTCTAACATGGTAGAATCAAAAGAACTGATAAGTAATGGACTTGTGAAAAGTGAAATGAACTATATTTTATTATTTTTATGACCCTAGTTCGATAATGAAGAATACAATGATCACTAGTTATGAACAAATTACCTATTGAAAACCATTGTACCGGTTTTTTGTTGAATAACATTACATGATATCGCCATAACTATCAAGGCCTAGTTACATGTCCCTCCAGTTCTCTCTACTTTCCTCAGTTTTTATATATTCCTGTTCAGTACTCCAGTTATTCAGTTTCTGTTGAGATTTCAAGCCTATCAAACTTATGGAAATGCATTGATCGTACTTAATGTAATGCGTTTATCTAGTTGAGGTTTGGCTTTTTCTTCCTATACTCCTGTTAGCGGGACATAGACTAGATTAAAGCATGCTCAATTCACGATTGCTTTGGTGCACGCTGATTGGCTAATTCTTAACCAATCAGCACTAGTCGATAGTTGGAGAACACTCTCGAATCTTCTCATGTAGAAAACTATAAATATACTGACGTTTTTCTCTATTGTGCTTCTGACTTGCTATTTGGAATATAATCTCTTTCCTGTTCAACCGTGTTTTGATTTGGGGACTTGTCGAGTGAATCGGTGTCCGAGAATACTAAGCAATAGGAATAGCTGGGTCATAACCGTAAGAAGAAGCAGGATTATAACAGTGGCGACGGGGAAAAAGGAAAACAAATTCAAGATGCCTATATCAGATGACCAGCTTAACCGAATACTACAACAACAGCAAGCACAACTTGATGCACAAATGCGGTTGTTGGAGACTCTGACTCAACAGCTCAACATCCACAGCTCGAGTTCACACGCTATTTCAAGTTCGTCTTGTGATGCAGTTGCTAGCAGCATCCCAGAATTCATCTATGATCCCGAAAATGGAAATACTTTTCTCACGTGGTTCAGACGTTGGGAAGATACATTTAGAACAGAATTCTGTAATCAAGACGATGTGTGGAAGACCCGATTGTTGGTACGTAAGTTGGGAAGCAACGAACATGCACGTTTTGCTGACCATATATTACCAAAGTTACCTCGAGAGCTCAGTTTCGAGGAGACGGTATTTCAGTTGTCAGAGATATTCGGCGAGTCATCCTCGTTGTTTAGTATTCGATATCGGTGTCTAAATTTGGTGAAACGCGAAGCTGATGAATATGGTGTTCTAGCAGACATTGTCAACAGAGAATGTGAACGTTTCAAGTTACGCTCGTTGACTGATGACCAATTTAAATGCTTAATATTCATCAAAGCTCTTCAGTCACCACAAGATGCTGAGATCAGGACTAGACTTTTGGCTCGACTGGATCAAGACCCAAACGTCACACTCAGAACATTGACAGATGAGTGTAAGCGTCTACAAATCATCAGACACGACAACGAGTTGATTGAACAGGTAAATCCTAATTTAACCTGCGGTAGTGTCAATACTATTACTAGGTTAAAAGTTCAGAAGCCGGTAACAACTCGTAACAAACCAAGGACTGCATGCTGGTTATGCGGTGATTGGCATTATGCAAGATTCTGTCCGTTCAAGAAGCATAAATGTCAGGAGTGCAACAAACGTGGACATAAAGAAGGTCATTGTCCACCGAAGCGTACGTCTCAGCCTAAGAAGAAGCATAAACGTCCTCGACATGTGAAATCAGCCGAGTCCAAATCTCTTTCTTTGGTAGCTGCCTTTCAAACAAACCATGACATTCAAAGAAAGTATGTTACCATCCAGATAAACGGCATATCAGCTCGTCTTCAAATTGACACGGCATCGGATATCACGTTAGTGTCTAGAGAAACGTATAACTTGCTGGGTAAACCGCCAATGAAACCATCTAAGAAAACAGCTAAAAACGCATCAGGCGGTGTGCTAAAACTGGTTGGTGAATTACAGTGTGAATTTTCCTTCAATGGAACTAACTGTACAGGAATATGTTACCTAACAGAACGGCCGAACCTTGATCTTCTTGGTCTAGATATGTTAGACAAACTTGGAATAATGGATGTACCAATTAACAGTGTCTGTAACGTATCGCGTTCATCATTGGACACCCCATTACTTCCAAAGAAGACAGGTGATAGGTTACTAGGAAAACCGAAAAGAAAAATACGAACACATTTCGATGTCATCCGTCCTACGCCAGCTATTGAACCCCAACAAAACCTATCTATGGAGAATCAGTTCAACCGACATCATGGGGCACAAAGACGATTGTTCACGGTGGGACAAAAAGTACTTGCTATGGACCATCGTGGGAAACATCCTACATGGACAGCTGGTCGGATCTTGAAAAAGAAGGGGAGTGTGGTTTACGAGGTGTCAGTTGGCTCGGAAGTTTGGGTACGTCATGCTAACCAATTGAAAGTAACTTCGATAGCCAGCAACAAGATTCAATATCGATTACCTCTTGATGTTCTGCTAGACACCTTTGAAATCAAAACGCCGGGAATAGACACGTCAGTTTCTGTGCAAGAAAAGAGTGATACTTCTCTATTGCCTAGACGATGGACTAATCGAAAGCAAAGGCCAGTCACTCGGTTGCAGTTGGACCCTAGCACCAGATCCTACGAATCTGCTCAAAGGGGAGGTGTTAGCGGGACATAGACTAGATTAAAGCATGCTCAATTCACGATTGCTTTGGTGCACGCTGATTGGCTAATTCTTAACCAATCAGCACTAGTCGATAGTTGGAGAACACTCTCGAATCTTCTCATGTAGAAAACTATAAATATACTGACGTTTTTCTCTATTGTGCTTCTGACTTGCTATTTGGAATATAATCTCTTTCCTGTTCAACCGTGTTTTGATTTGGGGACTTGTCGAGTGAATCGGTGTCCGAGAATACTAAGCAATAGGAATAGCTGGGTCATAACCGTAAGAAGAAGCAGGATTATAACAACTCCATAAACTTTTGTTTCATCTTCATCATCGTAACTCAATTTGTTTTGAATACTAATATGCTGGTTCATCTATGAAAACTATATCAGTTAAGAAAGATTTGGATTTGTTCAACAATGATGCTTTTGTCCAACAAATGTTGTTTCTAGTATAAGTTTTAGATGAATCTATGTTTGTATATTTCTTTCTGTGTACCATGTATATTTGCTGTCATACAGAAATGTTTTGCCTTTTTTGCCTGCTTATTTCCTTCCTTCCTTCCTTTCATTGAGTTCACTTATCTAATTGATTCATCTTTCCATTCCTTTATAAACTGGTCAATAGCGCTTTTATTTCAATTCATCTGTTAAACAAATCAGTTATGTCTATATTTTCATTATCATTTCTGTAAACTTTTGAAATACAAATTCTCCTCCGACCATTTTTCAGCTAGCATATGATAGAACTCATGTAAACTTTTGTTCCTTAAGAATTTTTGCCAATATGTATTATAGTTTAATTCATATTCTATTTTCTAATCAGTATATTTGTTTCACGGCCAAACCAAAACGTGGCATCATTGCTTGAAGACACTAACTTCTGGTCTGAGCCATGTTGGTAGATGCAGACTACTCGGTTGGTGTCCGCGTGACTATCGTAACCAATGGTTGGAGACTCTGGCTGACATGGCTCAGAATCGATCACAATGGTGTAGGTGTATACACTCTCTGTCTTCCCTTAAACTAAGAGATTAAAATCGTTTCATATCTTTCTTTCTACATACTAAATCTTTCTTCCTGTACTATATACTTATATACAGTCTTTCTCTTATATATTATCACCATTGACTTAACCACTCCTATAAATCCGGTGTTCATCTTGTTGTGCTAATGCGGTATGGCAACTTGGACCGATGCATATGTGGGCCTGGTTCTACGTTGTAGCTGACTGACTGACTGATATTTGTTTTAATGAATTGACAATAAACGTAATTAGTTAGGTTATCGCCAATATGAATTATGAATTAGTCCGTGTTTTTGTTTAAGTTGTATCATGAAAATACTGTTATGTTCTATAAAAATATACTTCAGGATAAATATTCAAGTTTAAAACACCTACGCCTATCACCCCTCTTAAAGGAGCATAAGCCACTGGCTAGCATTCT